ATTTATGACACCAAGGATTAAAAAAATTAAACTTACTGTAAAAATATAAAGCTTTAAATCTAACCACAAACTTTAGATTTCATTTAATGCATAAAACATTCGGCTGCGTTGTAAAGTTTTAAAATCAGAATTTAGCTTTCACATTGTTTTAATTATTATTCTAATGCTAGTTTTGTTTTAAATTATATTCAGCTGTTTAAGATATTTTGCTAATATTACATTTTAGCTTCTGTTTGCAAACAGTTTTATGGAGCAAGTTTAGCTCATACCTAGCTTTACCACCTTTAGCTACTGTTGTGGCAGTGTCAAGCAGTAGCTGAAGAAGTTTCGGCTTTTTTTCGTGTTTAAAACTTGCTTTGGTTTCGTCAATTTTAGCTTGTTTAGGCTACATTAAGCTATTGATAATTTTAGCTTGTTGTAACCATTTGCTTGCCAATTTTAACACTTGTCTGTTTTGCTAATTTTAGCTTGCAGCTAATGCTTCACTGTAAGTTTCAGCTTGTTTTGCTAGCATTAAGTTTGTTAATGTTTAGCAGGTTTTGCACTGAGTTTCCTGCAGTTGAAGGATGTGTCCAGCAGGTGGCAGCAGCTCAAACATCAGCTTCTTGTTGAATTTAGAGTTTTTAGACTTTAAATTTACAAGTTCATTCTACAAAATTAATCATTTTATATTTGAAATAATTCTTATCCAGAACCTTCAGGTTATTAAAGAACTTTGACAAATCCAGTAAAAACAAACACTGGCATCATTATCAAGGCATCGTTTATTTGACCCACTTTCAAGATTTAACAAAAACCGTCGGGACTTTGTGGAAAACGTTAATGCAAAAGAAACTTAAAGGCAGTCACAAATGCAGCAACATGTTTTTAACAGAATACAAAAAGAGGGGATGGATCGGCCGAGTCTCCATTTAGAGGAATGTTGATTCATGGAGGGGGCGGAGCCTAAGGGGGCACGTCTACGGGGAGATCTGAGGGGGACGAGGTCTGGGTGAAATTGGGGAGGGGGTGGTCCCGCAGGAGTTTAGAGCTGCCCACAGTTGGCGATGACGAGCTTAGCCTTGGGTTTTCCTGACGCAGTGCCGTACTTCTCCATCTTACTCACCACGTCCAACCCCTCCACCACGCTGCCGAACACCACGTGCTTCCCGTCGAGCCTGCAGGCAGAGGGCAGGGAGGAGAAAACCCATCAGAGTGTTAGAGACTCACTGATCCTGTTTCATCCAGCTGGAGTGAATTTTTATCAAACTTTTCAAAATTTGCAAAAAACTTGAATCTAGACTTTTTCCATCTAGTTTCCCTCTCGACTGTTTGTGAATAAACGAGGCTACGCAACGCGTGATTACATCAGACGAGGCTACGCAACGCGTGATTACGTCAGACGTTGACGACAAGCTTTGCGGTAGTAAACAGGAAGTGAAACTTGCTAACTAGCAGAGGCTAATCATCTCGGGAAAATGGAGCGATTTTTTTTCGTGAATGTCTTGCTATTGGGCAAGTTGTAATTATTCTATGTATTCAGCTACAGGCTGTTTAACGCTGCCAGGAGACGTAGGGAAATAAACACAATGTTAAACTACGCAGCACCGACGAGGCAGGAAAGCGTAAACAGCTGAACGTCACGTGAGGTAAATATGCGCTACGTCAGAATTTATTCAGCAAACGTGTTTCCATCTCCAGTTTTGCACATTAACTAATTTGTGAATCATCCAAAAACCACCTCAAGCGAGCGTAAAAACTTTAGCGAATTGAGTTTTTTTTATTTTGCTTTTTCCATCCGACTTTTTTTTCCGCATTTTTAATGCGACACTTCTAAATGTGCATGAAAAAGCCTTGATGGAAACAGTTAATGTGAGTGAACACTCAGCTGCAGTCATCTCCACGCCACAGTTCAGTGTTCACAGCTTAAGAAAGTTTAAGACTTTAATCCCTCTTTACTGCCACTTCAAATAAATTTAAGACAATTAAACCAAAAACTGACATTTTCAAGAGACATTTGGCAAATTAAAAAAAAAAATGTTACCAATTATAATATTTGAGATGAATTAGTCGCTCTACTTACAATGTTTTAACATTATGACCTGTGAAAGACTGATTTAAGACATTTTAAGGTTAATTAAGGCCTTATAAGACTAAGGATCTGCAGGAACCCTGGATTTAAACCCTGGATTTAAATCTGAACATCAGTTTTCAGTCAGATCAGGAGCAGAAATCAACCAGACCGATTCTGTTACTGTAAATAAAAACAATCCTGTTCAGTTAAACTGGACTCGAGTTTTAACACGTAAATCCTGTTTAGTAACGTTAACTCCAACACTGACCTCTTCTAAACCTGAAACTCTGGATCAACTCCTGATTTCAGAACCATTAAAGTGAAAGTCCTGGGCTCTGGACCGGGTCAGGGCCTACCATGTGGTCTTCACTGTGCAGATGAAGAACTGCGACCCGTTGGTGTTGGGCCCGGCGTTGGCCATGGACAGGATGCCGGGGCCGGTGTGCGTCAGCTGGAAGTTCTCGTCGGCGAACTTGTTGCCGTAGATGGACTTCCCGCCGGTTCCGTTGTGGTTGGTGAAGTCTCCTCCCTGCAGGTCCAACAGTTTCATTTTAAAACCCCCTGAAGGAGCCGGACCCTGACAGCAGCGGACCGGCGAGGCCTCACCTGGCACATGAAGTCTGGGATGATGCGGTGGAAGCAGCTGCCCTTGTAGCCAAAGCCCTTCTCTGAGGTGCACAGAGCGCGGAAGTTCTCCGCCGTCTTCGGCACCACGTCGGAGCGGAGCTGAAGGACGGGAACAAAGAAAAATTAATTTAAAAACTGTGAAACTGCAGACGCCTGGAGCAGAACCTGACCAGAACCGGTCTGCACATGTCACAGCAAATTAAACCCATCAGTTCACCTCTTAACTTTGGTTTTAATTTATTTTATTAAGACAGTGGCTGTAATAAAACATAAGCTTTACTTCATCAAATCAAGTTAAAGTTTATTTTTAAATAAGAGAAAGTTTCAGCCCATCAGCAGCAGGTGGTTTATTACCTGCACTGAAACAAGCCTCACCTGGTGCACAAACTTTATCAAATCTAACTAAAGTTTGTTCTTTTATCTTAAATTAACTTAGTGACTTTACACAACTTTTGATTTCAGATCCATTAAACAGCAAATTCTCCCTTCAGTTTATTTAAATCAGGTGTGTTTAAACATTTAGTCACATGGACCAAAAACATTTCTCCTTTACCTGCTCAACAATAAACTAAACATTGAATACTTAAATTAAATATAAAGCAGTCAGATTTATTGCTGGAAATGTGTGTAAATTTATTTAGATCCAAAAGTTTTAAAGTGTTTTGCAGGTTTCAATTATTGAAACAAAGTTTGCATTTTTCTAGTTTATAATTGGGGAATAAAGAACCAAATTTAGTTAACTTTGATAAATAAAATCAGGATTTAGTCACTGTTTTGTTGAAAAATACCTGCTGTATTCAGACAAATTTAATAAGTTAATTAAAAGTGAATCGGAGGCAACAAATCAGGTTTTCAGCAGAAGTCACAGGATGTGTAAAAAACTACGAGCCTGGTTATTTAAAGACTGATTATTGGTGTTGTTGCCAATTTTATTTATTGGAAGATTTTACTTTGTGATAATTTAGCCATAATTAAACACTGAAAGTCTGTCTACACCTGTCAGACACATTGTAAACAAATTAGTGTTAATTCTTCAGGGGCCAAACTTTGGACACCCCCTGATTTAAAGCATTTTTATTTCCCTGTGTGCCTTAATATTTTATTTTATCTCTAACTCTTACTTGAACAGTTGCTGCTGCAATAACTGCAATTTACCCCAAAATTATATTATTCATATTTTAATGGTTAAAAAAATGAGAGTTAAACTGCAGGTATCAATTTAAATTGCACCTTAAAGAGGATTATTTAATAAAAACAACAAATAAAACATAATAAAAACAAATAAAAGCAATAATAAAGCTGTCAGCTGTTTTTGGGACAGAAGAACCGCAGAGACCCCCCACCACCCCCGCACCGCTGCAGACCGGCGAACCGCCGCGACGTGCCCGGATACAAACACCGGAAGTTACCGGTAACCCTAAACCCTGTCTGGGTTTAAACCCGAACACAGGGGGGTTCTGGACTGGACGTGTTAACCTGCAGGTCCGGGCCGGGCCCACCCGGACCGGGGAACGCCCAAACAGGGAAACAAAATGGCGGGACTCGGTGTGCTAACCGCAGTTAGCTTTAGCCAAAGTGGACAGGAACCATTAAAACTCGGGTGGAACCAAAACGTGTCGGGTACCACCCTGCGGCCGCCTCCTGCTTGGTGCAGACGGAGCCCCGCCCCCCCGCATAGACCGCACCGGATGAGTGGAACTTTCCAGAACTGGTCCCGGGCCTGCCTCAACAGACCCAGTTAGCTTTAGCCACAGAGCTAAAGAACCAGCGGGTTGGTCACGAGTTCAAACCCACAGACCCACCCGGGGATGGAGCGTTATGTGTCAGAACCACACAGGAAGTCCCGTGAAGGCGCGTGGCGCTGCAGACAAAAGAGCCACGAGGCTCCGCGTGACTGCGGCGTGTTCCCGCAGGTGCAGCCAGGCCTCTGCGGATGATTCACCGCTGAAGCTCGAGCTCTAAGCGGAGAAGGCCGCGCGCTGTTAGCCACATTAGCTACCCGCTAGCTGCCGGCTCCCGTTACCTCCATGACGATCCGGCCCAACGGAGCATCGTTAGCGGTGATGTCGAAGAAGACCCTGGGTAGAACCATCGTGGCTGCTTGACGCGGGGCGGCTGGACTGTTCCGGAGAAAGAGACACGGCGGGCCGCAGGGAACCGAAAAAGATGGCGGCTTGACGATTAAATTTATATAAGACGCTTGTAGGCGGAGTCTTAACGGAGTCCACCAATCAGTGACGCGGAAGTGATTGACTGACGCTTGAATCAGCCTATCAGCGATCAGCCTGTGTTTTACTGGCTCTGCACATTTCACACAGCGCTGCTTTCACCCCGCGGTGCACACCGGACAGAACGCGCGTGGACGTTTAAAGCTGCTGGGTCTAAGCACCGCCCCACTGAGGTGTCCCAGTGTTGAAGCGAACCTGAGCAACACGCGCCAAAGATCAGACACGTGAACGTGAAAAAGCCCCGCAGTGGGAGCGCGCTCCCGCTGACAGGGCAAATGAGGTGTGCGCAGTCCCGCGGTCAGACTGGGCGCGGTCGGATCAGGAAAGCTTTTTTATTTTTGCAAAGGTGAGACACGAGGCTTCGGCAGGGGGGCGGAGCTTATTGTCATTAAAAGTTTATTTTATACCACTAGAATAATTATAGTTTATCTGGTTGAGTAAGTTTATTTTACTAGTGCGTTGTTCATCTTATACATTGATGAAGTTTTTTTGTCAAATGAAAAACAAAATTAACAGTTTATTACAATTTTTTGGGGACCCCCTAATATAGCTCACAGACCCGTGGGGGTCCTGGGACCCCAGTTTGAGAACCTCTGCAGTGAAAGTCTGTCTTCATAAACACTTGTTTTAAAAACACTAGACTGAGCCGTCCACTGTGACAGATCACTAATAAACTATGTCAACAACTCATCTTTAATGTTTTCACAATAAAGTTATATAATTATTGTTTAATTTCATTCAACAGTCATGAACAGCAGGTGTGAGGAAAATATATCAAATAAAGATCTAAACCAGTCCTGAAGTCTGTTCATGAACCTATTCTGACTTTAAATGTGAATAAAGTCAACCTGTGACCTTTGACCTGCTCTGAGCTTCTCAGTAAACCTGCAGCAAAGAAAACCAAGAACCAAACCTCCTCCTGCTGCTTTGTTGTCTCGTCTTAAAGGTTTTGATACTTTTATACTGAAAGGATTTGATACTGGAGATAATTTAAGATAAGATAAAAATAAGATAAGATAAAACTTTATTGATCCCACAGTGGGGAAGTTTTCACATTACAGCAGCTCAAAACAGGACAGGGTGAGATAGAATCAAGAAAGATAAGTAAAAGAAAAAAAAACATGATACTCGTAATAACAATGTACATATACCTAGTACAGTAGATAAATGAATATATATGCAGGTGCATATTAGTGATGGCAGTGCAGGTGAATTGTCCAGGTGACTGATGACATCATGATGTGTTCTCCTGATGCATCTCAGTAATCCAGGTAAAAAATCAAAAATAAAAAAATTGTATAGGTCTTCTGGACGGGTTCTTCTCTAATGAAACGTTTCGTCTCTCCTCCAAGAGACTTCTTCAGTCTGAGAGTTGTATATGCTGTTAAGTGCCAGGAGGACTGCGACCAGTTATACATCGGGGAAACAAAGCAACCACTGTTCCAAAGAATGTCCCAAGAC